GAAAGCTCAGAATAGAGAACAGAGGAGGGGATCTGAATTTGAACTCTGGCACAGGGCAGAGCAAGACCCCTTGGCAAAGTCTTCAGCCCAGGCCTTAGTCTTCTCTGTGAAGTATGTCTGATAATAGTGTCTCTGTCATGGTGTTATTGTGAGGATTAAGGGAAAAGATATAAGAAAGCATTTAGCAAATCATCAAAACACATTCAATGTTCAAGAAAAGGTGTCTAAAATAACACAGCATGGGGGCTGGTGAGATGGCTCAGTGGTCTAAAGCACCTACTTAGAACAAGCTTAGCAAAGCACAGGGACTGCAGTTCAATCCCCCAGCACCACATGCCAGCCAGCCCTGTCCCCTGGTGGGCTGAGCTGGCCACACACACGTACACACACACATAAGTAAATAAAACTTAAAAAAAAAAAAAAAGTAACAGCAGCAATTATAAAACAAAAGAAATAACAAAACCCTGCTAATGGTTTCCTGATCTTTTGCAGTAAGTACATCCTTATGAGGGAAACTGCGTGTTCTTCCTGTTTGGAATCAAGTTCCTCCTAGCATATCTACTGCAAAGTCCGCGGGAAGCTGAGGCCATGTTTGTAAGCAGGACCATATATACTGGAAACTGCACTCACCCGAAAGCATCTCACATCTTTTTTCAGTTGTATATGCACAAATTATGTATTCATTTAAAAATGAGTATGTGATTTTTACAGGTCATTGCGGTGTTGAAATCCCAGGGACTCCCATTCCAGGTGAGTCAAAGGCGTGTCAAGTCCTAGCGACATTTTTCACCACAGACACGTTTCTGGCCCAGGCACATCCCAGCAACCCCTCCAGTTACATACATTCATCACACTCACACCTTACTCTGTTACCAGAAATGCTTTTCTAGTATTTGCATTTCAGTTCACTTTCAAAGAAATTTCCAGTTCAGCTCCAGTGGCATTTGCATCTCATTACACTCCTGATAATTAGCTCTATCTCATTACACCCCGGCCCAGTTGGAATAGGATTAGTTGTTTTCAGGTGTAAACCTATGGTGTGCATCTTACTACACCTCTTCAAAATTCCAGGCAGGCTTTCTGCCTCAGCCAAATTAGGACAACAACTTCCAGCTGTGTACAGTTCATTACCACTTCTATTCAGGAAAAATACTTCACTGTATTTCACATCTGGTCATATGCTTATTAATTATGTACTTCTCATAACAACTGTGCCTAATTAGGAGAGAGTTGAGACCTTTGTCGAGCCCAGTGATTCTTTACATTTTCTTGTTCTTGGTACCTCATTACCCTCCCTCAAAATTAGGCCCAATTTGTTTTACTTCCCTGCCACATTAAGACAATTGCTCTCAGGTGTGCATATTTCAGCAGCTACTTTGCTTTACAAGCAAAATTTTGTTGACCAGGACTCGCCTCATTTTCACATCCTGTCAGAAAGGCAGTCAGTTTGCTGGTCTTCTCGTGACAGCTACACAGAGTGGAGTGATTCAAAGTTGGGCTTGCTAAGCTTGGGCTGGTCTCATGTCTCCTCTGTTCTTCATTATGAAATTTCTGTGGCCAGCTCCTGGGGAGGCAGCCACAGCGACCCCTTAGGACTAGAATCCTGAATGCAATGGCCACTGTCCATTCAGAGAGCTGTGGAGGCAGGAACCCCTTTGTTCAGCAAGAAATAGTAAAGGGTAGACTGCCAGGCCGTTAGCCAGCACGGGCACAGTGAGTAGTGAATATTGACAGTTCTGAGACCCCAGAGGGCAAAGCTCAGATGACAGCAATGGGGGTGTCTGGCTGAAGGCTTCAGTCCTCAATCCTAAATCTTCCTACATGCAAGGAAATCTCAGAGAACTGGGGATGAGGGAGGGAGTATGGACTCTGGCGAGACCAAGTGCACAGTGGAAGTTTTAAGAAGCAAGTGGAAGTGCCATGTCACAGGAACTGTCTCTTTTGCTTGCCATTGCTTGAATCCCACATCACCTGAGCTGTAAGAGGCAATTATATTTTTCTGACTGAATGAATGAATACATTAGTGCTAAGAAATCCATGGATACGAGTTGACAGTAAGAATCATCAGGGTTTGGTTGCCATCAATTTAACTTGTCTCTGTTGGAGTTTTACTTTCCCAACTATTTGAACCACAGAATAATGACTACTAAGCTTAGAAAACATGCAGGCAAGATTATAGCCCTAGAGAGGGGATGGGGCACCTGTAAACACTCATTCAGTGCCCATGGCAGTGATTCTTGGTGAAAAGTCCCCCTGAAGATTTAGTGTGAATGCCACTCACCTGACGAGAATGGGCTGTAGGAGCTCAGGCCTGGCCTTGCTACTGAGTTCCAGCTGATCTGGACCCACTTAGCAATAAACCTGTCTTTCAGAGCCCGGAAGTGGATATTATCCACTCCGGGAAAGGGCAGCATAAGGGATGTATCCTTGTGTGATCATTACAGATGTTATCGGCTGTGAGGGGCAGCAAGTTCTAGTTGATTAAAAAGCTTTCATAACCCCATTAGGTGGGAATAGAAACACCACATTAGGATGAAAGTTCTTGATGAAAACTTTATTAATAGGATGGGTATTTTACATAGGTGCTCATGGGGTAAGGGGAACAACAACATCTGAAGAATAGTTTTGTTCATAAATTAAGAGGTGCACTGACAAGTGATAACAAGATAGCTAAGAGCGGTGAAACCAAGTGGAGACAACTACCAGCACTTTTGAGAATACCACTTGCCAGCACCTTTCAAGATCTAGATCCAACCTGTTAAATTTAGTTCTTTTGTAATGAATTTATCCTAATGTGGTTAACTGGAAGAGACTCTTGCATAATTTTGAGATCCCCTGGGTATGGTAGAAAGGAAAGCAGTATTTATGACACAGTGTTGTGAAGACAAAACAAAAAAACGTGATAGGTCCCATAGAGTGGGTGCTGTGAAAGGGACATTCCCCTGGGAGCTGCTGTTGTTGTGGAGCTTTCTGTGAGGATCAGGTGGGGCAAACAGCCTCAAAGCCCTTCTTCATGGTTCTCATGTCTATCTCAAGACCCTGACTCGTCCTGTGAGCCCTCTGCAAGGTGCTCTGATTAGGGCCGCGGACAATGTGCCCCACATCACCATCTCTTGGTGTGGGAAGGGGATTTTGTCTTACTCACTTTTCTCCTTGCTTAGCTCAGTTTGTAGACGTTTCAGTCCATAACTGTTTGGCTGCAAAGCAGGGTGGCTTGGGAGAGGAGAATGGTTCATGGCACCCACAAGGTAGCAAAAGCAACAAGGGAGAGAGAAGCCTCTTTCTGTCCCTTACATTGTATGTAGGCTACCTGCTACACCCACCCTTAGTCCAAGCCAGAAGTATGCCAAACCAGTGGGTGGGCTGATTTGGTAATCACTTTTTAGCCCAGCATTATACACTCTGGGCTCAGCCAGCTCTGCAAGAGTCCTATGGCAGCATGAGGCTTTGCAGGACATGTAGGTGCAAATCATAAAAGACTGGCTCCAGTACCCTTGTGGCTGTCCAGGGCTGAGGATGCTCAAGTCCCTTCTACACAGTGGCGTGATACTGACTATAAGCTATGCACATCCTCTTTCATCTTAAATCACTTCTAGATTATTTATACGATCTAATCTAACACAAATGCAATGTAAATAGTACAGTTGTGTCTAGGGAATAATGACAAGGAAAGAAGTCTGTTCATGTTTAGTACAGACAAAATTTTGTTCTGTATGTCTGATCTGTAGTTAGTAGAAGCCTAGGATTTGGAAGGCATGGATAGGAAGGCCAAATGTCATCCCCTTTGTTCCTTTTTGCAAGAAACTCGCTTGCTTTATTTTCAGAGCTGCTTTGCTGAGGCCTATCTTCTTGGCCCTTTGAGCTGCAAAGGCACACTTTAGTGAATGGTCCTTATGGTAGACTGCTCTGTGCTTATGTATTATATGCTAGGTGTACATGTGTATGTATATGCTGGGTGTGTATATATGTGTACATGTTAGGCTCTTTCCTTGGTGGACCTGGATTTTTTAGTGGCTTCCCATCATGACTCAATAGCACAAAACCAGTTTGACAATCTCCCCAAAGTAGGGCATAACCTGTGGAAATCTTCACTTTGTCCCCAGTGATAGCAGGTTTTAAGATGGCAGAACCATCTCCACCTGCATCCATTCAACCATCCCCTGAATGTATCATTGGATATTTTTGATCTTTTAACGAATGAAGACTGGCATAACAACCTTCAAATAAATTTGTGTCTTGACAGCATTAGGCAAAAGTCCCGAGGCCCCTCTTTTCTGTTCAGAATTGGGTCATTACAGTCAAGTCAAGCAAAGAGGCCACTTTCCTAAATACTCCCCTATAGCAGCTTATCTTCCATTTTTCTGCTAGTTCTCAGTGTTCCTGATAATTCTGTTCAACCCAAATCCTTGAAGCCTTCCAGCTCCAGGAACTCTGTGCTAAGCACTCCCCAGCCCCACTCCTGGCTCTTCTGGCATCACTGTAATTAAGGTTTACTACCCTGGAGTGGGCAGGAAGGAAAAGAAAAATCAGTGTCCATTTTGTGAGTCCATGACTATAAAAGGGAAGTTCCAGACTAAAGTTATCTATTCTACTCCCCTTCCCTCTCCCACATCTACCCTTGGGTAGATCATTTCTAAGGCCCCTGTTTGAAGTCATCTGTTTTTCCATGGTGGTCTCCCACACAGACTCAAATTTTTCACAGTGAGCCCTCTGAACCATATAAATTTTCAGCATTTCTTCCTTTCAGAAGCTTCTGGAAGGCTGTCCTGCAGCTGCCTGCTACATCCTTGCATAGCTGCCTCACTATTTGCCCTAACTCCCAACTCAGCTCTAAGTAAACACTATTCAGGATTTGGAGTCAAGCCCCTTTTGGACATTCTTAGATAACAGCAGTGCCTTTTTGGTCTGTATATCTGCCCTGAGCACAGTAGTACTGGCCCCTACTAGGCCCTCAGGAGATGTTTGCTGAATAGGGAATGTGAGAAAAACAACACGCCACATTTAAGCTTCTCAAGACAGTTTTAATTTTTGCTTACCCCATCAAGATCAAAGTTGTTTCAAGCAGGCAAAGATCTGGTCACAGACTCTGTGGTTTGCCTTTCAAGGTGTGTTCAAGATGCTTCCTGATCAATGCACTGCTGCCTCCTGTGACATGTGACAATGCACAGCAAGAGACCTGGAGCCTGGGGCAGTGGGGAGGTCCAGTGTGCCAGGAAAGTGAGTGTCCACACAACAGAAAAGCAAAATAGGCTTAGTTGGTGGCCCACAGAGGAGAAATGTCATGGCTGTCCCACCATCCCTGTCTTCAGCTAAGCAGACACAGGCTACTTTCTGAGGAGAGACTCAGATGCTCATGGGAAGATAAGTAAGCACCTCAGAACCATTTACCCCATGCAAGATTTTGAATGATCTCTAACCATTATTTCCTTGGAAACAGTGAGAAAGTAAGCAGAGAGGATTGGATTGCCTTTCCTACTTCCATTTTTGTCACTAATTTATGGCTCTTGGTTTTGACAAACGCTAAATAAAAAGGCAATAAGCCAATCAGTAGCCTATGTACAAGCTGCAGCATATAAATTCTCCAAGGGCTTGAGACAAATGACATTTTCTCCCTCTAGTTCTGAAGAGACCCTGTTTTGGTTAGAGAAATTTGCTGAAAGCCAAAGCCAGCTGAGAAGTCATTTATGTGATTTTGGTACAAGTGACAGAAAACAATGCACATATACTTACTTCATTGGACTGTAAACCAACAAGGTCAAGAGACCAAAAATCCTGCTGTTTATGTACCAGAAAACTAGTAAGTGGCTTTAAGAATGGACTAAAACAGGTGGCAGTCTGCTTTTAAAGCTGGGATTTTATATATGCTAGGGAATAAATAAAATATTAGTCACTCATTCATTTTTTAGAATGTAGTAGTGTAACATACCTTCCTGCCCTGCCTGGCCCCAGACCCTTTGCAATCAACTGTACTAAAGTAGCTGTTATATCAAAACATTTTGTATTGCAAACTTTATTCAACATCTATAACAAAAGCCAAAACTCAAGAAAGAAATTAACCCTTACACTTTCTTTCCACTAAAGCATCAGCACAGACAAACTAGCCTTGGAAGACACCAAATAATATACCAAATAAAGAAGAGAGCCTGAGGAGACAAAAGCAAGCCCCACCCCACTGCAGCACATCCCATTAAACGGTGGTTATTTTCTTATCCTTGGTGGCCTGCTTGATGGCCGCCTGCTCGCAGATGATCTCCTTGAGCCTCTGCAGCCTCGTGTTCTGGATGGTCTGGTCACCCACCCCGGTCTGACTTCGGTGCAGCAGCGTGAGGGCATGGATGTATTCCAGCTCCGTGTACTTCACGCCCTGGTCCACCACCAGGTTCAGGAGCTCGTCGGCCGTGTTGTAGAGCATCTCATAGTACTGCCTGAGGGGGAGACAGAACACTGCTCAGCACCTCCATCAACAGCAGTGTTTTCTAAGTGGGGATGAATATGCTCTTGAAATGTGAATTTATTTACTTATTCATTAACATTTACCAATCAGCTCCCAGTTAGGTTTTGTCCCATTCAATCCCTCATTTATTATCGGAGTCTTTTTGAAATACATGTTTTTCCCCTCCACAAAGCATGTAATAATAGTATCTATCTCTTATTGGAAGAATTAAGCTTATTAATATATATACATATTATATATATGTATATATGAGTTAGAATGGCAGTGCTTCATGAAGGTTAAGTCTTCTTACAAATATAATAATAATGTATTAATACAGATATAACAAAAGTAACAGAATGGCCCCTTTCCTCAAGAAGTTCCAAGATAAGTAGGAAAGAAAAATTCAAACTAGAAATAATTTTATTGCTGGTGACAAAGTATCTTCCTTCCATGGTACCATTTAACTCTTGCTACAACCAGAGACTGCAACTTCCCTCCTCAGCTAAGGGAACTGGTGCCAAGAGAAGTCAGATGACTTGCCCAGTGTCATAAAGACACCATGTACTATTTTTAAAACCATCATTTCCAGTACTACATCTCAGTGTATACAGGATTCTTAGCTACCACTTGCACGACCATTCCAAAGCTCAAAGCCAGCTTTGCTAACACAGCTTGTAAGTAAAGGGACAGGTTCAGGCAGTGGGTTCTGGCAACGTATGGGGGTGAAGGGATCTTAAGGCTCTATTAAGGTCACTGGTTTAAAATCCTGTATTATGGGACTCAGGGCCTTGATTTGTTTCTTCATCAGAAATATCTTGGGAAAAAACAAAGCCATCCTGGGGTTCAGAACATATTTTCTAGGAGCTCTATATTTTAAGAATAGTTTATAAAGTACTGCTGCCATGGAATGTGATCAAAAAAAGTTTGGTGTCTTTTCATATGGTTGTTCTACTTCCTACTTTGTCTACTGTATTTTCTAATTAACATATAATTAAAAATTGAATACTCCCCCCCTCTTTTTTTTTGTAGCTGGTATTGAACTTAGAGAGTGTTAAGATACATTCTCAGCCCCTGTAAAAATTTTTATTTTCAGTCAGTTTTGCTAAGTTACCCAGAAAGTCTTGAATTTGCCAGCTTCCTGCCTCAATCTCTTCAATCTGGGATTATAGGCATGTACCACATTAGTGAGAAATCATATTCTTTTGTGATATTCTCTAAATAGTGATGGGAATGAAAATGCTCAGTTTAGATGAGCAACTTTGTGAATCTCTTCTAGGAGTAAATTGTTCTGCACTGCTGTATAGAAGGCCCTCTTTAAGCTCCTTTTCTGTAATGGCTTTAAATGAATGTGCCTGTTAAGCTCCTGAAAGCTAACAGTCAGGAGCCATTGGCCAAGGTAACCTTGACATGGACAAAAGTACTGCCTATGTTCTTATGTACTTTTTATCCTTCATGTTTAGCATAAAACCCATGGTTCTACTCCTCAATGTATATGTTGTAGTTTACAAACAATATTTTAAAAGCTGGGCATGGTGGTGCATATGTGTAATCCCAGCACTGTGGGAGGCTGAAGCAGAAGGGCTCAAGTGTGAGTCCAGCCTTGGCAACTTAACATACCCTGCTTCAAAATAAAAAAAGGGCTGGAGATACAGTTCAGTGCAAAAATCCTGGATTCAATCTGCAGTACCACAAAACAACAACAATAAGAATAGCAGTAGTAGCATTAGTAGCAAAACACCTGGTAGGCAGATGCACCATGTTTGTCCTATGGCCTCACATGTTCTCTGGTACACAAAGACTTCTTCCCTGATATTGGCCTTTAAGAAATGAGGCTGTATACTGTTTAGTTATGTTTCCTGCACGTGGATGGGTGAGGGAGACAGCTGTCTTCTTCTTCGGGCAAATTCTTAAAAATATACACTTTTAAAACTGCTGAAGAACTCATGTACAAAAGTGGATTTACCAAATGGTTTAGGGTTCATCATTTCTTTTAAGTTAGAAAGGAACTGAAATGTACAATTTGTACACTACTGTTTTTCAAATTTCAGAGTGCCTCACCATGATTACCTGGGCAGCTTAGGACAAGAGCAGAGAGCTGAGGCCTCACCCCCAGATATGGTGCTTGTGGAAGGATCGAAGCCAACTGTGCTTGGCCACAATCTGGGAGAAAAGAGAGCCCTTCTAATCGCTGCTAGCCAAGGACCTAAAAGCAGCAGGAAAGGCTGCACAAGCAGTAGTGAATGGTTTGTGATGTTTTTCACTAAAACTAAACCAAAAGAATTGGGATTCTTTGTATTATGATGTTGATATTTTCATAATTTAGCTTAGGAAGTAACATTGAACCCATCAGCCCAGATGCAATTGGGTTTCTTTTGAAAAGTCAGATGATTTGTTTCCAGAGATATTAGCTGGTTGTTTTTTTTTTTTTTTTTTTTTTTTTTTTTCTTTTTCCCAGAGACTGTGGTTCCATGCTGGGAACAAATAGGAAGACAAAGATGCCTACGTTTCTAGTCCTGGATCATTTTGTGACAAGTGACAAAGGCCATGCCACTTAAGTCCTCAGTGTTTCAATATCCCCTGTGCAGTGAAAACCTTTATAAATCCCAGAATGACACCCTGAAGTGAACTGAAAGATGAAGAAAGAGTTCTTGAGAGCTGCAGATGAACAATGTGCCAGAACCGCAAAGCTGAGTTATTAAACAAAATTGACAGGTAACTGATGGTGTATTTTCTATAGTTAGGGAAAAATTTCCCTATATCTATGATGATATATTAGATCATAAGGAAACATAAATATTTAAAGACAGAATGAAATTCATTTATCTTTAAGAAAGGCACCCAGTAGCAAAGACTCATAAATTGGTATAGCAACAGTTAGATGGGGTGGTAGGAAAGGGTGCCATAAGGTGCCCTAAAGGGAAAACAGGAAAATGCCCCAAACTATTCAATTAGAATGAACTCCCATGATAAACACTGACAGGCTGAAATGAAATCATGTAACCCCACAGGGATAAATAATTGATCAGTACTCACAGAGGACAATGAAACTTGGATTTTTATCATCGGTATTAAAATAGCAGCCACGGCTTCCAGGGCACCACCTTTTATATTAGTTGGCACTTCACACAGCTGCCTCGATGGGATCAGTGACCACACATTTATTTGATTTAGATATTTTCATGACTCATGGAAAGGTCTCTTCACATCCCATAATGTTCAGAGACCAAGTGCTAGATGTGGAGCAGACATCCTATTTCAAAGACCAAAGAGTGTCACATCACCCTGGTGGACAGAACATTCTGTGGGAAGCATCTGCCTTCCCAGGGTTTCTTGTCCCCTGTGCTCAGTGCTTTTGGGTAGCTGCTTCCCAATGAGCAGACAGGGCCAGGGGGTGAAGGTGTGAGGTCACGCAGTCTGGCTGATGGTCACAGTCTACACCATGACAACTTTGATACCATCTAATACAAACAGATTGTTCTCTCTTATCAATCTCATGTTTCCTTTATCAACAGACTGTTCTTCTTTGTAATATTTTCTTTTTTCTCTGCCAGTACTGGGCATTGAACACTCTACAACTGAGCTGTACTTCTATCTATTCCTCTTACTTTAATGGCATTGCACTGCCACTCTCTCCTCCCCTGATTCTAACTGAAAACAAGTATATAAAGGGCATTATGCTAAGATGAGAAGATCATTTAAAAAAATAATATATATATACTATCTTTCTTTGATTGGAAAATTAATATGGGTACCATATAGAACATATAGGCCATATATAAAGATTACATAGAATAAAGATTACTCATGTAATTCTATCCTAGAGACATGAAACATTTTGGAATATGTTCTTAGAGTTCTTTTGCTCTGATGTAGTGTTTTAGTCAATTTCTTTCTTATGGTTGAAACATTTATAGTAAAACACAATTGGGCACTTGGGTTGTTTCCAATTATAAAAACTCTTTCCTGAGGATAGGTTTCTAAAAGCAAAATTAGTCAAAAGGTAAGTATATGGTTTAGGATATTTGTCAAAATTACCAAATTGCTTTTTGATTTTAATGTATGTAGTATACATGTAGGTAAAAATTGTTGATTTGTTAAGATGTTGCGTATTAGTACTTTTCTGATCTTTCTTGAAAACCTTTTCATAAATTTTCACAGACAGACAAAGCAAGGAGAGGTTGTTTATCTCTTCCTTTGTTCTATACCTCCAGCTTTACTTTTTGTAAAGAGAGGGAAGAAAGCTTTACTAAAACCATCTCTTCCCATTGCAACGCTCCTTCCTGTGCTTGCAGTCCTGGGTGGGACTGTCCAACGTTCCCAACAAAGCCTGATCATCTGTTTAACTTTACTTGATGGAATTCAGATCCCTGAGAGGAAACTGCTTTTAAACATAGTCATTCTTTGCCTCCTATAGGGCACTGGTTCCAGGATCCCCAGGCTGAAGTATTTATATATAACTTAAGCACATCTCCCATATGTTTTAAATCTCTGCATTTATAATACCTAAAACAATATAAATATAACAAAAATATTTGTTATATTGTAGTGATAAGAAAAAAATTCTGTACATAGTACCAATGAAATTTTTCTTCCTGAATTCTGACTTTTGCTTGACTCAGTCCATGTATGCAGAATCTAAAGATATGGAATACAGGAATAAGGATGACCACCTGTATACAGCTATGTCTCATAATCTTTCTTATGTTAATATTAATAATTACTAATTAATATTAATAACATACTTTTCAGTTACATCAATGTGATGTAGAAGTATTAAAATTATCCACATTATATAGGCAAGGAAACTGAGGTATAGCATGAGTGATTCACCTAAGGCCTCGAAATGAATGAGCCTATAGAGCCACTGTGACAGATATTTAATACTATAAAAAGCAAGCACTGAATAATTGCAAAGGATATTTGTATAGCTACTTCATTTTTAGTCATGATTTTAGAAATACATATTAAAACAAAACTCCCAGGCTAACC